GGAGCAGCCAGTCACTCACTGACTCACACTGCAAAACAGAATTGTTAACATATTTACTTTAATTTCAATTCAGGTTAGATTTTTTTTGCGCGCAACGCAGATTTTTTTCTGCGCAGAGACCGTGCCAGCAGTGCGCAATTACTCACGTGCGCAGCTTAGAGGGAACATTGCCCCTAATCACCCTTGTGTGTATTTAGTCTGTGTGTTTCTGTTCATTCTTTGTCAGGTCGTCTGTTGTTCACGCCATGTTCTTTACACCATGTTTCTAGGTTTCATATCCAGGTTTTTTTCATATTGTTTGTTTAGATTTCCCAGTCTAGGTTTGTGTTAATTTTGCTTCAGTTTGCCTTGCCTTTTGTTTGTACCTTTTACCAGCCTCATTAAATGGCTTGCTTTTTGTTAACATTCCAGTTTTGTTCCCTGTTCCTTGGAGTCTGCATTTTGGGTCTTTCTTGTCAATTCATACAGTCTGCCCTCGCCAGACTGTGACAGAACAATCTGGCCAGAATGGACCCAGCGGACATCTGTGAGGATTTTTGGGAGTTCAGCTCTCGTGTGACCATTCTCTATGGACAGTGGAAAATCTATTCTGCGTGCAGACGGGAGAGTGAGAAGCAGTCGGTTAGAGTTCAGCTGGACCGGATTCTGTCTGCATACCCTGCTTACATGGAGGTATTGTCGGAGGATTTGCAGGTCTTCGACCACACCATGTTGCCAAAGCAGCAGCCCCCCAGCATGCAGACTGAATTACTCCAGCCCCTCTGTGATGCAGCTCTCCCTATGCCAGCTACAGGAGTAAAATTTGGCGTGTTGAGTCACCTGTCTGTCTCCATGTCCATGTCACCGCAGCAGCAGACAAGTGCTGCATTTTCCTTGACACAACCAGTGGCTGCTTCTACCGCCAAATTCACCTCAGCCATGGCGGCAGCCTCCACAACCACGACTTCCAGGCGGAGGCTCAGCTAAGCCCCTGTAGGACTGAGACCCAGGCCAGGTTGAATGCAGAGGCTGAGTTGGAGGACTCAGTTTGCTCTGGACCCCCCGAAGAGCCTGTTGCAGCTCCCATGGGGGTCACTGGGCAGTTGGTGCAGCCTTTTCCAGTGTCTGCTGGGGGTTCGGCCGAGCCCGTCCAGCATCCTGCCATGTATTTGAAATTTTACTCATGGATTTGAATTTTAATAAAAATGATTTAATTAAAAACTTCCCATCTATCAATTTTCTTACACTAATCCAATTTACATAAATCAATTCATTAATCAATGACTTTATTTAAATATGAGTACTGGGGCTAACACTACGGTGCTATGGGGTATTTTTTAACTTGCGTTTCTTGTTTCTTGTCAAAAATTAGCAGGTTGGTCACATCAAAGAAATCATATCAGCATCATAATTTCCACTAACGACTTCACATTAAGCAGAAAGTCACAGAGGGACATAATGAGTGTGCAGGTCTATGACCATTGGTATAGCAGCCATCACATACGTCCATGTTTATCTGTCTTCACTATTGGGGATAGTGACTTCACATTCCCGAAACAGAAAGACGGGCGAAGGTGTCAGCATGATTATTTTAACAGACTCTTAATCAATGGGGAAAAGGTGAGAAGAACCTGGCTTATGTATT